TAATAAAGGCCGAGCCTGGAGCGGCGATGCAGCAGGGCGGGAGGGCAAAGGATCCCATGGCTTGGGGACTGAGCGCCGTTTCTGATTGCCTCCCCAGGTCGCTGGAAAACCCCACTCCGCCCTACACGCCCAAGATGGGCCGCAGGTCAGTGACCCCGAGCGCCGCATGCTCACAGGCAGAGCTGGGGGGAGGGGAGGCGGCCTTGCTGCCTGGAAGAGGGAATCGCCTGAACAGTGCCCCGGTGGTCCCACGTGTCGAAATTCCAAAGGGAACAGGCCGAGGGGGCTGGAGGAGAGTCCGTGGGCCCCCCCCCTTCACCCAGTGGCTGGTGCACACAAGGGATTAATGCAGTGAGGGGCAACTGAGGCGAGTGAGTGGCCCCTGCTTCATCTCAGGGGGCCGTAACCAAGATGGCCTCCCGGGACAGGGCGGTTTTGCTCACTGCGCTGGCCTACGTGGAATTTGTGGGAGGTGCCAATGGAACCACAGCCGTGCTGTGATTGGCCGCAGAGGGAGCGCCCGCCTCTCCCCGTCAGCGCTGGCTGCAATCCGCCTGCACCTCACCTCACGGGCCGTGGCTTTAGGGCGTGTCACCTGGACGGGAACCCGGGCAACCGTCAACAGAACATCTCGTGGGCCACACCCAGGAACCCGATGGGTCACGTGTGGCTCGCAGGCTGCCCACCACTGGGATAAGGAACCTGCTCTCTGCCAGCTGGGGTGCCTAGCTCTTCAGCTTGCTCATAACGGGCTGGATAGCCGTCCTCAGAGAATAGTTATCCGTGGTTCACGGTCAAGATGGAAGGGCATAACGCAAGAACGGCCACACTGGGTCAGACCAGAGGTCCACCTAGCCCCGTATCCTATCTGCTGACAGTGGCCAAGAGAGAGTGAACAGAAATGGGTAATCATGAAGTGATTCCCTCTCCTGTCACCCATTTTCAGCCCCTGACAGAGGCCACTGACACCTTTCCTACCCATTTTGGCTAATAAGTATTGATGGACCTAACCTCCATGAATTTAACAGGGTTCAAGAAAGAACTACCGTATTTTCCGGCGTATAGGGCGACTGGGCGTATAAGACGACCCCCTAATTTTTTAATTAAAAGATTGGGTTTCATCTTATACCCCAGCGCCCCTCCGCCTCCTTTGCTCCCGGTGTCCCTGGTCTGCTGGAGACGGTCCCCAGCAGACCAGAGGCACCGGGAGCAAAGCCGCAGCAGCTTTGCAAAGCCTCGGGGGAAGCCCGCGGCGGGGCATCCCGGGCGCGCCTGGGATGTATACCCGGCGTACAAGATGACCCCCGATTTTTGAGGGATGTTTTTTCACATCTAAAGTCGTCTTGTACGCCGGAATATACGGTAGATAAAGTCCTGCTCTTCGTAACCTAACAAGGGGGTTCTGCAGGGGTCGTTTTGGTACAGGTTCTGTTCAATATCTTCATCAACTCTTTAGATATTGGCATAGAGAGGATGCTTATAAAGTTTGCAGATGTTACCAAGCTGGGAGGGGTTGCAAGTGCTTTGGAGGAGAGGGTCATCATTCAGAATGATCGGGACAAACTAGAGAAATAGTCTGAGGGAAATCGGATGAAGTTTAATAAGGACAAATGCAAAGTGCTCCACTGAGGGAGGAACAATCCATTTCACACACACAGACTGGGAAGCGGCTGTCTAGGAAGGAGTACGGCAGAAAGGGATCTAAGGCTCATAGTGGAACACTAGCTAAATATGAGGGGGGGTAGTGGTAGATGTGGTATACCTAGATGTTAGTAAAGCATTTGATATAGTCTAGCATGACCTTCTTATACAAATAAACTAGAGAAATACAACCTAGATGCTGCAACTATTAGGTGGGTGAATAACTGGTTGGATGACCATTCTTAGAGAGTAGTTATTAATAGTTCACAGTCATGGTGGAAGGGCATAACAAAAGGGTTTCCATGGGGATTAGTTTTGGGACTGGTTTTGTTCAATATTTTCATCAATGATTTAGATGATGGCATGGAGAATACACTTATAAAGTTTGCAGATGATACCACGCTCGGAGGGGTTGCACGTGCTTTGGAGGATAAGGTCACAAAGCAAAACGATCTGGACAAACTAGAGAAATGGTCTGAGGTAAATAGAGTGAAATTCAATAAGGAAAATGCAAAGTGCTCCACTGAGGAAAGAACAATCAATGTCATGCATACAAAATGGGAAGTGACTGTCTAGGAAAGAGTACTCCAGAAAGGGATTTAGGGGTCATAGTGGACCACAAGCTAAATATGAGTCAACAGTGTCACACTTTTGCAAAAAAAAGCAAATATAATTCTGGGAAGCATTAACAGGAGTGTTGTGAGCAAGACACGAGAAGTCATTCTTCCGCTCTACTTTGTGCTGAAAGGTCTCAACTGGAGTATTGTGTCCGGTTCTGGATGCCACATTTCAGGAAAGGTATGGACACATTAGAGAACATCCAGAGAAGAGCAACAAGAATGATTAAAGGTCTAGAAAACATGAGTTATGAGGAAAGACAGAAAGAATTGGGTTTGTTTAGTTTAGAAAAGAGAAACTGACAAGGGGACATGAGAGCAGTTTTCAAGTATCTAAAAGGGTGTCATGAGGAAGAGGGAGAAAAATTGTTCTCCTTGGCCTCCGATGACAGGACAAGCAGCGATGGGCTTAAACTGCAGCAAGGGAGGTTTAGGTTGGACATTAGGAAAAAGTTCCTGTCAGGGGCCCAGGGAGGTTGTGGAATCTCCATCACTAGATAGTTAAGAGCAGGTTAGACAAACACCTGTCAGGGGTGATCTAGATGGTGCTTGGTCCTGCCGTGAGAGCAGGGGGCTGGACTTGATGACCTCTCGAGGTCCCTTCCAGTCCTAGGATGCTATGTTTAGAGGTTTGTGCTCTTTGGGGGAACAGCCCCAGCCTCGTGGCAGCTGGGTTGGGCGTGGGGGTGGGGGCACCACATGGGGTTCATGCGACTGCTGGGCCCAGTGCACAGCTCCAGGGAACATCCAACATCTCCCCCCTCCCCAGGAGCATCGAGTCACCTAATCTGGGCTTCAGCGCTGACTCGTTCCTCCCCCACGTGCTGGAGGATGAGCTGGGCCAGCTGTCGGACCTGGAGCTGGAGCCGGACGCTCAGAACTGGCAGCACACCGTCGGGCGGGAGGTCACGGCTCACCTGACGCAGAGGGAGATAGAACGCCAGGAGGTGATCAATGGTGAGGCCCCCTGTGGATGCGCCGTGGAGGGCGCTGGGGGATTGCAGCCCCTGGGCAGCGCTGGGGGAGGCGGAGCGTGGGCGGGAGAGCTGGCCTGCCTCTGACCCTCCCCCTCCTCCCGCCCGGGCCCAGAGCTCTTCGCCACCGAGGCCTCTCACCTGCGGATTCTCCGAGTCTTGGACGGCCTCTTCTACCAGCGGATGAAGAGGGAGGGCCTGCTGTCACGGGAGGAGCTGGGGCTGCTCTTCCCCAACCTCCCGGACCTCATCGACATCCACAGTAAGACGCTGAATTCCTGGCCTCTCCTTGGGCCCCTGGGCTAGAAATCCCCCAGCCTGGCTCTTTAGGGCCAGCTGCTGCTCCGTGGAGTTTGCACAACCCCTGGGGAAGGGGGGGAGGGCCCTGTCTGCGGGGCTGTACCGCTTTGATCTCGGTCTGGTGGCCGATGAGCTGCAGGCGGTCTGGCGAGCTGCTCCGGTGTCTCTTCTCGCGACTCTAGGGTGCATCCACACGGCATGCGGGAGCCCAGGTCTGCAGCCTCGGGCTCGCAGGGCTGAAAATAGCCATGGAGCCGCTGCAGCCCCAGCCCAGTCACAGACAGCCACACGGCTGCTTTTAGCACTGGCGCATGGGAAGCAACTGTCTATGAGCTGCAGGCGGTCTGGCGAGCTGCTCCGGTGTCTCTTCTCGCGACTCTAGGGTGCATCCACACGGCATGCGGGAGCCCAGGTCTGCAGCCTCGGGCTCGCAGGGCTGAAAATAGCCATGGAGCCGCTGCAGCCCCAGCCCAGTCACAGACAGCCACACGGCTGCTTTTAGCACTGGCGCATGGGAAGCAACTGTCTAGGAAGGAGTCCGGCAGAAAGGGATCTAGGGGTTACAGTGGACCACAAGCGGAATACGAGTCAGCAGTGTGATGCTGCTGCAAAAAAAGCAAACAGGATTCTGGGAGGCGTTAACAGGAGTGTTGTGAGCAAGACACGAGGAGTCGTTCTTCCGCTCTACTCTGCGCTGGTCAGGCCTCATTTGGAGTCTTGTGTCCAGTTCTGGGCACCGCACTTCAAGAAAGATGAGGAGAAATTGGAGAAGGTCCAGAGAAGAGCAACAAGAATGATGAAAGGTCTAGAGGGAGCTATGAGGGAAGGCTGAAAGAATTGGGTTTGTTTAGTTTGGAAAAGAGAAGATTTGGGGGAGGGGGGAACATGATAGCAGTTTTCAGGTATCTAAAAGGGTGTCGCAAGGAGGAGGGAGAAAATTTGTTCATCTTGGCCTCTGAGGATAGAACAAGAAGCAAGGGGCTTAAACTGCAGCAAGGGAGGTTTAGGTTGGACATTAAGAAAAAGTTCCTACCTGGCAGGATGGTCAAACACTGGAATAAATTGCCTAGGGAGGTTGTGGAATCCCCATCTCTGGAGATATTTCAGACTAGGTTAGATAATTGTCTATCAGGGATGGTCTAGACAGTATTTGGTCCTGCCATGAGGGCAGGGGACTGGACTCGATGACCTCTCGAGGTCCCTTCCAGTCCTAGTATTCTATGATTCTGTGTCCCTGGATCTTTGGACCCACTGCCGCTTGCTGTGTAGGTGTGCCTCGTCTCTCCAGTCGCCAGTCTATGTTGGCTCTGGTGCCAGCCAGCATCCGGGCTGTGGGTGGCTGTTGGGAGCAGACCAGTTAAACCACGGTAGCTGCAGCTTCCTGGTAGTAAATTACCGAGGCAGGCCGGCCTCCCCATCACTGCTCCCAGGGGTTTCCGCTGAGGGCTGCACATAGAGGCTGCGCAGCGGGGGGGCTGGACTCCTCGGGGCGGGGGGCAGAGGAGTGCGCAGGGACGTGACGAGAGAAGCTGGCTGTAGTGTCGGGCGCATGGCGGCCGGTCACATGTGAAAAGTATGATCGTTCCGTGTGGATTGTAGGTCAGTAGCTCTTCCGGGAAGGGGGTGCTGCCTTGTTAGAACAGGGCGTGTTTCATTTCTGTCTCCTTTCCCTCCCTCCCCTTTTACTTGTCCCCTCCCCATATCCCGGTTCAGATTCTCTGTCGGAATCCATGAAGAGGCTCCGAGAAGAAGGACCAATCATCAAAGAGATCGGGGATCTCATGCTTTCGCGGGTAGGGCCAGGGAAGCAGCTGGGGCGGTGGGTTTGGGGGTCTCCTCTTGCCCCCTCTCCTGATGCAGGAGACCCAGGGCCCGTGCGGTGAAATGAAAAGACGGCACGCTCCAAACCAAGGAAAGGAAAGACTGTGTTTCACCTGCCTTGCAATTCCCCTGCGGGACTTGCTGCCACTGGATGGGGGCGAGGCCGAGAACGTAGCAGGGTTCCAAGAAGGACTGGCCATGGATTGGGATAGTTCCTCCAGCTGCTGCAGCTGGGGCCCAGGGATGAGATCCAGGGCTTGCTGGGTCTTTGGGGGGCCCAGGGCAGTGCCGAGGGCCATCCCACTGAGCTATGGTGGAGGCCGACAGCTCAGCTCTGGCCCTTTCTCCTTCCCTGCCCCGGCACGAGAGGAAATCCAGCAGGTGGTGGCCGACTTCTGCTCTTACCAGTCCATCGCCCTGGAGCTGATCAAAACCAAGCAGCGCAAGGAGACCCGCTTCCAGATCTTCATGCAGGTACCTCCTGCCCCCCTCTCCCTGGAGAGCCCCACTGGCCTGTTCTCCCCCCATCCTCACCGGCTGGGCCACCAGGCTGCTGCCCCTGGCCTGTTCTCCCCC